GAAGGTCGTGACCCAGGTCACATTGTGACCTTGGGTCGCGACCTGTTAATGGGACATTTGTCCCATTTTGATGGATAAGTGTATTTTTTTTTTATTTAAAAAAAATTAAAAATATATTAAAATTTATATTTTTCATTCTCTACAAATAGAGACCACACTTGATATATTTTGGAATAAAATTATAATTTATAAATAAAATAAATATTTAGGTTGAGTTGGGTTGGAGATAAAGATAAATTGGATTATAAGGTTGAGTTGTGTAGGTGGAGGAGAGACAAATAATTTTTAATTATTAGGTTGGGTTGGTTTAGGTTGCTGATAAAGATAGTCTAATGGAAGTTCCATGGTAGGAAGTATGGATCCTGGCTAATCTTTCAAAGAAGCCAAGTATCCTTTTTCTTTTCTATTTGTTTTCTTCATAGACTTGTTGTATACTTGTATGTCTCCTTTTCAGTCTCAATAATATCTGTCCTTCCTTTGTTTATTCAAACTTCTTGCACAATAGAAATTGAAAATTCTTCGCTTTTATAATGTAATGGGAAAAATTACATATATATTACTTACATTCCTTTACATTGATGATGCGGTTTTATTTGTCTGGCAGATCCCTCACTGAGTATACTCACATCTGGACCCTATGGCCTTATATTTTCTTCATTTGTTCCCTTTTATTTCGACATTCCTGTTTCGACGCGGTTTCGTGTGTTTAGCCTGAACTTCTCGGACAAGACTTTTATTTATTTAGCTGGACTTCAGGTAATTATGAGCATTATGGCTATATACACGATGAGGTGCTAATTATTTTCTATCATCTTAACATTTTCTTTATTAAATTTCATTACTTGTACTTTACAGTTATTTTTATCATCCTGGAAAAGATCCATGCTGCCAGGGCTTTGCGGTATTCTCGCAGGTTCCCTGTACCGCTTGAATGTCTTCAACATACGCAGGCTGAAGGTTGCACCTAATCTTAAGTCGATCAGTTTTATGAGGCTAAACTTGTCTGTTACGAATCATCTTTTGTCAGAATTCATTTCAGCAAATGGGACCCTTTCTTCAGTTAACCCCTTTCGTAATCTTCTTCCAACTTATATATCAGTGATATAAATGGTTTTTCATTTTCTTTTAATCTTCATTTTTTGTGGGTATCACTACTCATAACTGCCCAGCTAATTTACAGAAAAATCATGGAGAGTGCGTAAAAGTGTTGCATTTGCATAAAGTTTGGGCATTTATCAGTTAAAACATTATTATGTTTGGTTGTGTGTTTAGAAAGTACGTTTTTTATGCTTCACATGGAGAGCAAATATTATCCTAGAAATTTTGTGTACGGAGTTATAGATAGCCACTGCTTTGCTTCTTTTACTTTTTTCTCTGATATTTTATCAAGCTAATGGCTGACTAGCTTATGCTTTGCTGTTTCAGTTTCCCGGAGATTAGATAGCCACTGCTTTGCTTCTTTTACTTATTTTCTCTGATATTTTATCGAGCTAATGGCTGACTAGCTTATGCTTTGCTGTTTCAGTTTCCTGAATTTATCGCGTCATTTTTTTTAAGACTGTCTTTGCCATCTATTGGTAACACATCACCCACCATCAGGTCATCGCCCAATACCGGTCGCCAGATTGAGGTAGTTCTTTCTTTTCTTTTCTTTTTTAGAATAAGAAAGCTCGATTTTTTATTTTATTATTAGAATTTTAGAAGTATACTGGGTCTTTTTGTAGTCATTACATAAATCATGTGAAACCATCCTTATAATAATGAATCCTTCATTTTTCATTGACTTTCAGGCAAACTATCCAGCGCCATTATCATCGACTGAACCACCTGAGGACTTGATAGCCACACTTGTTTCAATGGGCTTTGACCGGAATTCGGCCAGACAGGCTCTCATACGAGCAAGAAATGACGTTAATACTGCCACTAACATCCTTCTCGAATCTCAAGGGCATTGACCCAAGTTATGTGTTGGTTTTAATGGTGTATTCATCACGAGCAATGAGTTATCGTATTTTCTGAGCTGAGAAACATTTTGTCCCCAGTCGACAAAATCATACGTTTTTCTTCTTCTTGCCTTAAATAGGATTTTTGTCCCCTTTTTTTT